GTATATCCATGTTCTATTAATGCCTGTGGATAATTGCATATATGGCACTGTGAGAAGTAGAGAAATCTGATGTGTCTTGATCATCTTTAAGTTTCTGTTTGTCGTAAATAGAAAAATCTGTTGAGGAACTATGGATATACATTGTCTGGAAAAAGACTTGTCTTTATCCTGTTTTCCACCGATTCATATATTTCCTCCATTTTTGTCTATCTGCCTTTAGAATAAGTAAATCGTGAAGGAATTGAGTCCTAGTTGTATTCTCGATCTTGCACGAGCAGGGATGCGTATGGGTTTGCAGTGAGACCTCAGCATTTACAAAGATACCGGAATATGCAAATATCTACAAGGTTTCGTTTTTCCTATCTTTGCAAATTTTATTTGTTATTATTTTTTCGATTTCTACTTCATTTTACACTATTTTGTTATTACATATCTCACACGATGTGTTTTCAGGAAGAAGAGGAAGAGAGATCAGATAGATGGAAAGACGTTCTTGATAGGCAATCAGAGACCACTCGATTGCCCACCACTGATTTGTCGGCAACCAATATAAAGGCTGAAGATAGTTCCAAGAATGTTATCAGTGAAAAATACAAAGAGGAGCAAAAATGGACTGAAATAAGACCATCTCTTCGTTTCATAGAGGATTGGATGAGCTCTCGTGTGAAAAATGAGGTCAGTTTGATTAGCAGAGAAGAGGCATGCAAAGGGGACTCTGAGGAAGAATTCCACGATTTGGATATAACAGAATCTGAGGAAGAAAGGACTTCACCGGATTGTATTTCTGATGGTTTTAGAGGAACTCAATGCCTTGTTCAAGGAGGGGTCCCGATGACACTAAGGGGAGAGGTGAAAAAAAAATGCCTTTGATTGCTCATGAATTTTTTTATTTTTTATTTTTCTTTATTATTATTATTTGGATAATGTGTCCCCATATGGGGTTACTGGTGAAATTCTTTTCAAAATCGTTTCAGAAGTCAGTAACATAATCTGTAGTTTAATTAGAAAAAGAATTCAGTTAGAATTAAAACCACAAGTATACTTTTTTACTTCCTCTTATTATTCAAATCATCAGTCACATTATTAGTATTTTAGTAATACTACCATTATACTAACTTCATGATGATCCGATTCATATCCTTCTTATTTTTTCAAACAGATGTGGCAAGCCTTTGTTGGTGTTAGAGCTCGCCGGATAGAGAAATACTACAACAATTTACTTGATCCGAGTATCAGTGTAGAAGTTAAGAAAAATGGGCTAGAAGAAAAGAATCTCGATGCGAATTTAGAGAGTGTGGGTGTACCTGAAAAATGGAAAAGTCAGATTGAGAAGGTTATTATTTGTTCTTACTTTTCTTGTGAAGTCCTATCAAACAATGCTGCTTATAAATTGCTTAAATATAACTGTAACTAGAGATACAACTATATATTAACACAGGACTTGCCTCGAACTTTTCCCGGTCATCCTGCTCTAGACAAGGGTGGTCGAAATGCTTTAAGGCGTCTACTTACAGCATATGCCCGTCATAATCCCTCTGTTGACTACTGTCAGGTATTTCAACATTTTATATGTCAGTGCAGGAGATTTTTAAGGTATTGTCGTGAAAACTATCCCGATTTTTGGAGTAATTACTAATTACCAAAATTAAATAGAAACACCTCAGGAAATTTCATAACTAGAATAAGAACCCGACTTTTGGTTATACCTTAAGAGGCTAGTTTTAGTACTTTTACGAACGTAAGAGGCATTTTTTAGATGCTTTTCACTTATAAGTGGAAAATATAAGACACATTCAATCTTCATTTTTATTTACAGAAATCAACCTTTTTGTGTGTGTGTGTGTGTGTGTGTTTGTAAAATTATCCTTACTGTTAATATTGGGTCCTCTGAGTTGGCTGCTTTACCAGGAGACTTTTCTTGGCGTGATCAATTTGTAAGTATGATTAGGCTCTTCAAAATTTTTAATCTGTTGGTATTCAGTTCTTCTTAACACTTTCGGAATTGTAAAAATGTTTTACCCCAATAGCCAAGTGCTCTGGTTGTCGGAAGTGGAGAAAAAGACTACAAAACTATTTATCCTTATTTTTTTCAAATTTTTACGGGACGAGACTTATGTTTGTTCAGTTTTGTGCAGGGCCTGCATTGGTTACTACTAAAGATGCTGGAGATGCTGTCACACTTCTTCAATCATTAGCAGGCTCGACTTTCGATAGCAGCCAGCTCGTCTTGAAAGCTTGCATGGGTTTTCAGAATATTCACGAGAAAAGATTACGCGAACTCAGAAGTAAACATCGATTAGCAGTCTTTGCTGCTCTAGAAGAAAGGCCAAAGGGACTTAAACATTTGGATATGAGGTTGAATGGTGATCCTGCAAAAGATCTTCACGAGCAGGTAGCGTAGTTATCTTCTTCCTCTTCTTCTTTTTTGATTTTTTNAAAAAGAGGAATGATAAATCAATTTGTTGCATGCTTGTGCACATTAGCTGTGAAGGCTTTTTATTTTTATTACAGACTGCAGTTTATGTTGGTCGATAAGTAAAGGTTACCGGTTGATGATATTAGTGAACATATATGAAATTTTGTTCGGAAAAGAATTAAGGGGATTATGGAAATACCATTGGTATCCATTGCAGAACATATGTGCTAAGTCTTGGTTCAAAGTTGTTTGCTGATAAAAGATGATATATTCATAACCTGAAAGAAAAAAATATCTATTCAAAAAATATGTCATAATCCCACTACTCATTTTGCTGAAAAATATAAATGTTTATTTGTAATCTTCCTATATCTGTAATTTCTGTGTAATGTGTAGTAAGTATGTTATAATATATAATTATCTCTTAACTTTTATTTGCTACTTACAGGGCAGAGGAGCTCGAAACAGCATTAATGGAGATGGTGGAGCATGATAATCGCAGGCAACTGAGTGCACGGGTAATTTAGGAGTCGAATATCTTTCTCGTTTGTTCAAAATTTTTTCCTTTTAAAACTTTTCAACCTAATGGCAAAGATAATGGATTTAGGTTGGGCAATTGGAGCATGAGGTCTCTGAACTTCGACAAGCAACTTCTATGCAAGCATGAGCAAGAGAATGCAATGCTTATGGTAAAATTATTGCCTTCAAATTCCTTTTTTTTGTTTTTTTTTTTCTTTCAATTTTCCACTTATGATTTTTGTTTTTGGGCAATATAATTTTTGGCACTACTGCTTTTTCCTTTTACAGATGTTAATGAGGGCAGAACAAGAACAGAAGGCAACTGAGGATGCCCCCCTATCTGACGAGCAGGATGCTGCTGCCCAGAAATACGCAGCTCAAGTATTTCAGATTTTTTTTTTTTTTCAGTGTCTCGTTTTTGTAAAAACTTTTGCTTGCAGAGGGAGTGATTTATAATAGTAGAAGCTAAAAGCCATTGAAAACTCATAGGTTTAAAGAAGCTCAAAGTATCTGTAAAAGTAGACGAGAAGTAGAGCATAACCTCGAAATCGACATTTCCTCTTTATGCTCGCCCAATAATAAGCGACATGTAACCAGGCGTGAAGCCTAATTTTGAAAATTTTTATTTCCCTTAAAAGATTTCAAAAAGAATTTACTCTTTAGTGTTCGGCTCTTCCTAAACCGAACTACAGGAATTCATCGTTTTAAAATGAAGTGGGTAGAAGAGATTTTTATGGTTTAAATTTTATGATATGGCTTTCTTTGTAGTTGCAGTTCTTTATTCGGTTACGTGCCATACTGTTGCTAGGTAAAGTGTGAAAAAGAAAATGCTGCGCTAATCGAGATGGAAAACCGGGCAGTTATGGCTGAGTCAATGCTGGAAGCTACGTTGCAATATCAGTCTGTACAATACAAAACACTTCATTCTCCCCGGTAATTCTATTGTTTGTTTGAAATATATTTGTAAGATAAATTACCAAAGTTATGCTAAGGTTTAGCGTAAAAATACAAAAATACATAACCGCTATTTTTTGTTTTCTTATGTTTTGCCTTAAAAGTTTTATGATGCCATCAAATATCTTACAAACACACCTATCTAACATTTCAAAATATTACAAATGCCACTTCTTCATTTTGTGGCTATTTGTAGGGTATCGATATGTAAACGGATCTGTGCCAATGTACAAAGGCAAATGGTGTGATTGTAGGAAATTTTGATCACTTAAAAGAAACTTTCTTCACCTCAGTAATGGTAGATGACGGGCATTAGCTCGATGGTCATTTTTGTAGTTTTAAAATAGGCTTTAATTTTTTCCCCCTCTTTTCATTTTCCCTTTTCTAAATACCCCAAATATTGCAAAATTTCAATTTGCACTAATAAGAATTATCATAATATCCTCAAAATATAAAATCCATTACTATTTTAATGAAAAATGGTTGCAAGAAATTTGCAGAAATTAATAAATTGTTCGAATTCAATTCCAAAAATGCAGATTTTACTGATTCACTTCCAAAAAAAAATGCTAGAAATATATATATATTTCCGAAAGGTGGCTAATTTATCTGATTTTCCTGACACTATATTTTGCATGATTTCCATTTTCACGAATCCCGTTTGCTCATCACTCGTTTGCTCGTAACAGAAAAATCGGTATTTCCTCCAGTACAGAAAGAGATGGTAAATGACGAATTACTGATAAAGATAAAGCCAATTTCGTCATTCTTTTCTGAAAGAAGAAGAAATATGTATATGCAGCAAGGAAAATTAGATGATGGGGAATCTCTGAAAGAGGGTACTTTCTGCTTCAGGAGCTTCACACAATTGTTATGATCGATTCTCGTTCAGTTCATTGTTAAGAGAAATGGAAAACTCAATCATTTGTTTGTTCGTTTGTTTGTTTTTCAAGCTATTTATTATTAATAGCTCGGAGAGAGAAGTATTAGAAGAGATACATATCAGGTTTAGACGAATTCGTGATATTGAAAAAAAAAAAAGAAAGAAAGAAAATTCTGTAATCCATGACTTTGTACTGCAACATCTGTGTAAAGTGTGACAGAACATGAGAATATTTATCATCTTTCTTACTTATTTTAATGTAATACATATGACTGTAATTACATATACTTAACATTTCAAAATGATGAATGCCTAACATTTAATCAGCTTAAACAATTTTTTTATTTATTTAAAACATCACCTTACCAAAGATTATTACAAATGANAATTCTGTAATCCATGACTTTGTACTGCAACATCTGTGTAAAGTGTGACAGAACATGAGAATATTTATCATCTTTCTTACTTATTTTAATGTAATACATATGACTGTAATTACATATACTTAACATTTCAAAATGATGAATGCCTAACATTTAATCAGCTTAAACAATTTTTTTATTTATTTAAAACATCACCTTACCAAAGATTATTACAAATGATTTGAGAAAAAAAAAAAAAGGTACTAAAATCACAGTACAGTGTCTTAAACAGCCCATTCTGTATGAACAAAACTCTACATGCAGAAGCTCTTGATGGGTCTACTTCCAGATCTGAAGAGAACGGTTGGATTTGAGCTCAGATCTGCTTGAACCGCTTCTGAATCGTTGCTAGACAGCGAGAATACCTGCAAAAACTCAACGCCGGAGGTGTTTCCGGCGTAGAGCCTCCGACGCTCAAGTCAGTATGAGAGTGATGAAGAGATGTTGCGCAACAGCTATGAGGGGAGTGTGGAATGAATGAGAGTTAGGGTTTGGGGTTACTTCACCTCCTTTATAAAGAAGTATTGAATAATTTATAATTTTTTATCTGTACGAATATACTTTGTTTCTTGACGTCAATTTCTTTTAATATGTCCCGTGCATTTGCACGGGCAATAATACTAGTTAGAATTTAACTTTCATGCCTCTGAATTGATAGTTAACAATCTTTCGAAACTAAAACTGATAAAAAATGCCGGCATCTTCCATGACGAAAGTTTTGCATATTATAAGTACACCAACAAAGGAAAAATATAACTACAGTAACAATGAAAACAAAAATGAACATAAAGTGAAAATTAATCTTACCCATGCAACGAGATAACTGATGAATGTTCTATCATTTTGTAATCCCCTATATAGAATAAGTTTTTTTTTTTTCCTTTTTTTTCTTTTTCTTTTTTCTTGAATTCAGTATAGGTGTGGTTTTGGGATTATAAGTACAATTCTGAACTTCTTTTTTGTTGTTCTTATAATAAATATGTTTGTCACATTTTTTAAATGTGATGGGTTTTGACAATGTGGGGGCATAAAATTGTGAACATGTAATTGAAGTTATTTTAACTTAAAAGGTCCACCTTTAGACAACTGAACCTCAGGGGTCAGGCATACAAAATGTTTCAGTTAATTAGGAAAATTCTCTTTTGGCCCACCCACCTTATATAATTGGGAGAGGTTCATAGGTCATTTTCATATTGCTAACTACTCCCAATTTGTTTCAAGATTTGATTTTGTCATGCACATGAAACACATATTTTATACACAAATAACATTTTATTCTGTGTGTATTTTTAGGCTGTGAGATGAATCATCATGCTCAAATAATCAAACTTCATTTTACACTATTTTATGAGTGTCATGTAAAAAGACAAATTTACTAAGACCATATAACATACACACAGAGCAAACCATTGATGATTCCATTTAACAAATCACAGTCCATTCACATGGCAAATGCTTTTCCAATTTGGGCAAAAACAAACCATAAGAAACAAAATTATTAAGTCACTACTGGTAACATTTACTGTACAGAAATCCAGCTGTGAATGATTCAAAAATTTGTGTGCTCCTAATAGAAGCAATCAACCTTAAAACCATTTAACTCTGTTAGTAACCCTTCATATCTGTTCATGAAATTTGGTCTATTTATGTAAAAACACCAGTTAACTTCCAAAATTAAGCCAAAAAAACAACAAAAGGTGCACAAATTAGGTTATAGTACAAATTCATGCAGTTTTCACTAGCTGAGAATAAGAGGATTATTTCTTTATACACACAGAGACATTTGCCAGTGATTAGAACAAATAAAAACAGAATCAAGAGTACATACATACATACACTACTACTTACTACCAACTACTCTATTTCATTCAGACAATGAAACCCAAAAAACCAACACAACACACACAACACTCATAATAACAAGTCATTAACCCCATTCCACAACAAGAACACACACCAAAAGAACCAAGTGAGAAGTTACCCTTTTACCCCTCCTCACTTCCGGCCGAAAAACCCCTTGAGCCTCCCCCTCTCGAGCCTCTCGAGCAGCTTCTTCGCCCCCGGCACATCATCTCGCTCAACTTCTTCAGGTACCCAATCGCCCCATACGAGACCTTCCACTTCCGACACTTCTTGCTCGAGCACAACATTCCAAAGCAAGTCACCTTGTACTTCTTAGCCGTGTTCTGCTGGCTCGGGTCCAACAGCGCCACCAGGCTCGGCATGCTTTTCTCTTCCTTCTTCACCTCCCGACAATTACAAGACACACTCATCAGGCACGAAATCGCGTGGGCCCCGACTTCTCTAGCCCCGTTACTCTTCTCCTCGAGCAACCGAACCAGATTCGGAATGCAGCCCGATTGGCCCACTAACTTCTTCATCTCAACCGAGCTGCTGCTGCTTCTGCAAATTCGCACGATAGCCCAAGCTGCCGCTTGTGGGGCCATTGGTGAGCCCGATCGGAGCACGTGAGCCAGCCTCGGGATAACCCCACCCGAAACCAAAACCTCGTTCGGAGCCCACCTTCGGAAATCACGGCTCGTCTCAGCTCGTCGTTACCCGAAGTGAGACTCTGAAGGCACTCGACCTTCTGCTCTCTTTGCTTCCTGCTTCAAACAGTTACGGCACTAGCTGGAAAAAATTGAAAAACACATGTTATAATTCAAGTAAAAACAAGAGTAGCATAAACGAGTTAAGTGGCATTGTAAATTAATACTTCAAGTAAAAACAAGAATAACGTTAAAGACCTACAAGGAACAGAAGTCCGAGCTGTCGGTGAAGATTAAGGCGTTGCAGCAGGACACACAGCTTCCGAAGAGTGCACTATTTTTCTAAGTATCTCTTCCTTAACTTCATTTGCTTCATGGTAAAATATCTCAATAGCAATTTTCATTCTCTCCAAATATGAGTTTTCAATGATAATATACAAGCGTCAGCCGTAAAGTGGCGTCGTTCAAGTCTAGCTTCGGGTCCTCTTCATCATAATCAAACTCGGCCTGCAAAAAAGTGTCCAATAAAAAAAAACCCCTACAAAAATTTGTTTCTTGAGAACTCCACGACACAAACAGCCGTGACTGCGGGGGTTGTCGGAGAGATGCATCAAGGAGGTGAATGAGGAAAAATTTTCGAGAATAAATCCCCAGATTTGGGCCTTTGAAATGAGGTTTGGATATATTAATTTTTTCCCTAAAATTCAACTCCTTTAAATTTCTAAGAGTTGGCCAAAGCCAAATCAAATTCAATACAGAAAAATTATTCAAACTAAAAAAATTGATTCTAAACTACAAAGAGATTCGAGATTACCTTTGTTGTTCCTGATCTCCGAAATTCAATGTTGAGACTAGTAGCTTGAAGATTAATGAACCAGTTGTTAAAAGGAAAAAGAATGATGGCCTGGAGTGGACGCGATCGTGGTTTGAAGATAGGCCGGAAAGCTTGAGTTTTTTTCTCTCTTTCGGACAGAATCAATCGATCGTGGTTTTTTTTTAACAATAACAAGAACTTAACATCCTGCAACTTATGCACAAGTAGCAACAGCCAACCAAATAATACCAAATAATATGCTCATGCAGCTCATAAACAAAATCCAACAAAACACTTTCATGAAAAAAAAAAAAAACATTGCACAAATTCATAACAAAGAAACCCACCCTGCCTGCACACCTAAGAAAATCCATTTCAAGAAACTCCGAAAAAACAGCGAGGTCGAAGAACTTCACTGTGTCCAGCCAGCCCAACCCGACAATCAACTAAAATACACAAAAAGATGTTCAAACAAAGATAAATATTTCAAATTTAAGCAAACAGCAGCCCCACAGAACATATCATCAAATCCCACCCTATCTACACCTAAAACAATCAATTCCAAGTAACTCCAAAAAACAGTGTATTCGAAAAAACTTCGACGAACCTATACAAACGAGACGCAGCCCACACCAATACTCGACCAAAATACGGAGACAGATATCCAAACAGAGACCAACCTTTCAAATTTAAACACACTGACAAACGCATCTACTCTAGTAATATTTATATCAATTATCAGTTGAAGAATTATGCCTCTACATTTCAATCTAAGAATCATTAGCAACCACACGAATTGTTGAAAAGTGATCGAATGAGATGAAGAGTATAATACTAAAAGCATCTACCCATGATACTCATAACACAGCTCATGTTTCACAAGTTTAGTAACCTTGAGATTTTTAAGAAAAATGTCCGAACCAAATGAGACGTACAGAGGGCTAAACCCACAAATAAATAGATAATATTATCCATCAGATATGAAGTCTGAACATCATACAACCATTAACCATTAGGCATTGCAGAGTAACAAGACATACACCTATTTGCATATTTGTCATAATTATATGGATACCACCAAAAAAAAAAAGAAGATAAGTTGGAGAATTTTTACAATGATAATATCCTAAAGTGGTGTCGTTCAAGACTAGCTTAGAGTCCTCTTCATCATAATCAAACTCGGCCTGCAAAAAAGTGGCCGATAAAAATAAAACCCTTCAAAAATTTGTTTCTTGAGAACTCCACGACACAAACAGCCGTGACTGCGGGGGTTGTCGGAGAGATGCATAAAGGAGGTGAATGAGGAGAAATTTTCGACAATTAATCCACAGATTTGGGCCTTTGAAATGAGGTTTGGATATTTTAATTTTTCCCCTAAAATTCAACTCCTTTAAATTTCTAAGAGTTGGCGAAAGCCAAATCAAATTCAATACAGAAAATTTTTTCAAACTAAATAATTGATTCTAAACTACAAAGAGATTCGAGATTACCTTTGTTGTTTCTGATCTCCGAAATTCAATGTTGAGAGTAGTAGCTTGAAGAATAATGAACCAGTTGTTAAAAGGATAAATAATGATGGCCATAGTGGGTGGAGTGGACACGATCGTGGTTTGAAGATAGGCCGGAAAGCTTGAGTTTTTTCTCTCTTTCGGACAGAATCGATCGATCGTGGTTTTTTTTTTTATTTTTTTCTTTTCTGTTGAGTTTTTGAGTTTGAAGAGGTAGACGGCGACGGGTGACCTCCTGTTGGAGTTTCACTTCTCTTATAAAAAAAAACTTGTGTGCATTAATNAGTTTTTTCTCTCTTTCGGACAGAATCGATCGATCGTGGTTTTTTTTTTTATTTTTTTCTTTTCTGTTGAGTTTTTGAGTTTGAAGAGGTAGACGGCGACGGGTGACCTCCTGTTGGAGTTTCACTTCGCTTATAAAAAAAAAACTTGTGTGCATTAATACCCAGGATATAAATATGTTCTTTGTCCAAATCTAAGGGTGTATATCAATTCATAAGATCTAAGGGCCTATGTTAAAATAACGGAGTCATCCCCTTACGGGACCCTAGCCTCGCCCTGAGTGTCTATAGGGCATATTAAAACAACAAATTTTGTGGCAGCAGATGGGTTAACTAAGCGTTACCACCAAAGACATTAATCGGTCATGACGAACGAAGGGGTAATACGGATGAGTCATTCTAAACATGCTTTTAATGCAATGTGTGTGTGTGTGTACATAAGCTCATGTCATGGCAGCATATTAACATGGGGATGGAGTGCTTCAACGTGCATTACACATAATGCAATAACAATAACTGTCTGCTAACAGGAACAGGAAAAAAGAAAAGAAAAAGAAACTACAGAATATATCAATTTTATACAAGTACTGCATAGGCTAAAGTAGCAATTGTTAATTGATCTCTTCAGAAAGTCTGAAGGAAAGATTTTCATTATTTAGTTTTTCTCCTGATCAATGTCGATCAATACAGAATTATATCAACTACAATTACGAGGCGGGCTAGACGGGTCATCCGGGTTCGAAAAGGGCTTGGGATTAAAGCTTGATAGGGCAGTTCAATCAACATCTTTGCTCTCGAAGAATTACCAATAGTTGGCCATAACTCTTGCAAAAGAAGATACATTTTATCTGCCACATCCATCTAAGATTCAAATAATATCTTTATTAGATAAAAGGACCTCGCTCTTAACAGGCCCATCCATTGCTGCAAGGATGGCCGTGTTTGTCCCCATTTGAGGAACCCCTTCAACCCTATATATCATGTATCATAGAGAACAATGCGATCACTGTAATAAAAGAAAGCTGATCTATAAGAACATATGTCATTGCACTTAAAAGCAATCTCAAACAAGCAACCGTGCCGAAGCAGTTCAACAAAAGGCTAAGGGACCTTACATAGCAGCACACGATTCACACAAACAAGGCAACATAACACTGACATATATATATATATATATAAATCATATCGTCATATAGATGAGCTCTCGAAAAGAGGGTACATCTCCACAGCCGAATTATCATCGCCGGTACAGAGATTGACCAAATTGTCCGTCTCATAATTGTAAATCAGTAGCTCGCCCTTGGAATCCACGAGAAGCAATTTATTCTTCTTGAAGAGGCCCGATACCAGAAAAACTTCGGCAGGGATAGTGCACGAGTGCTCCTTAGACCAGCTGCCATTGTTCCAAACCCAAACCTCGATATCAGAAGTCTCCCCATTCACAGGTTCGCCTTCAAGAAGACTACCCAGCTTATCATCGTAAGCAACAAGAGCCAGCGACCCGCGCAACTCAGCAAGAGCAACAGTGCACATGTCCACAATCCTATCGCTCTCGGGCATGGGAATGAGTTCACGGGTAAACTCCTGCTTAGCAAAGTCGAACGAACAGATACAAAGTTCTCCTGAAAACATATCCTCAGCTGTCCAATAACAAAATCCATTAATGTGAATAGGAGCTGGCTGGACTGGCATATGGGGTCGATGAGGATAAGGAATTTCCTTCCACAAACCAGTTTCGAGCGATAACAGCTCAGCCTGGACTTTCATGTCATGATCAGGATCCTCATACGTATAACCAAACGCACGAGCCCTGACAATTTTATAGTCCCCCGATGAAGGATCGATCCCCAATCCGTAAAAACTGATGCCCGAGTAGAGTGGGGAAGGCAGGGGAGGCTCGGACGTGAAAGGGGGAAGGGTTTTGATCTCGTTGGTAAAAGGGTTCCACAGAAACTGTAAAGCCCTATCATCAATCGCTCCACATGTCACCAATATCCATGGGTTGCAGGAAGTTAAAACCTGATAAGCGTGGGGTTTCGCATACAGCTCGGGATTGCAGTTTTGAGATTTGAGTAGAGCCGACAAGCTGGACATATCATCTTTTACTACTACTTTGAACGAGTCGCGTTTGGTAGAGACTAGAGAATAACAGGAGGACCCGTTGCCAAGGCTCTGCACCACGAGCATGACCTCGTTGCTTTTCTCGAGCCACAAATTGAGGTCGAGCGGCGGCGCCACAGGTGACGCCAGCGTCGCAACAGGTGACTCGCGGTTAATATCATCGTCCTCGGCATCCAGGGCGGGAGCTTTCTTGGACGGAACATATGCCTGGTTGAGCTTGGCGCCGATGGATTTGAGTATGTTTAATTGGTTGAGTTGAGTGTGGAAGGTCGAGAAGAAAGCCATAGCAGCGTTCGCAAACCCTAGGGAGCAATTGCACTATAAAATTAGGCGTCTGTATTACAAAGTGGCTTCTGTAAGATTTTAAAATTGTTGTAAACCGGGCCCATTAAGATTTTAAAATCTATATATATCTCCCTCTTACATATAAGAGAATATGAGTGCACTTTAGGTGGTAACACGTGGCATTTTTTGAATGACTAAAATGCCCATCACTGGCTCTTTTTCCCAATTTCTTCAGTCATCTCTGTTGAATTACTCGAATAACCGTGTTTTACTATTTGGGGTTAATTTTCTCGACACTTTTTCTGTCAACCCATGTTTGAAGGATTTGGTGCCTGAAAATCTGCGATTTGCCTTCCCCACGGAACCTTCAACCACTCTCTCATTTGATTAACCTAACCGGCGACTCTCGATTTTTGCTCTGAAATCATGAAGAGACCTAGCAATTCATCTTGACTAGCAGATTGAACACCCACAGCCATGGCTGCCAGAGTTCGGTCATTTATAGATACACGACGAAGCTGACGGAGACACTACAGCCCCGACGACAACAGTCGGCGCGGCGAGCCGATTAGAACCAGAGAGGTGATGCGGCGGGAGAATGCGGGTTTGAAGACGACCGAGACGATTGAATCCCTAATCGACCGACTCTCCCTTTCCTCTCTACTCGCATGCCGCTGGGCAAGAAACAAAGGAAAAAAAGTGGAAGCGATCATACCCTCGCTGCTCATTTTTCAACGAATTGGCCTTTTCACAGCAACGCCCAAACCCTAGACGAGCAGAGCTCTCGCCGCTTCCAAAATTTCAACGTGCAGCCGCCGAAAATCCACCATGCCGTTGTGAAAAAACACATAACAAAGCTCTAAGATCATGTGGAACCCACCTCAAAATTCATCTTTTTGTACCATGATGCAGCCCATGCCTTCATAGTTAGAGATCCTGCCCTTTCTATAGCCCGTGAAGAGGGTTTCTCTACTTCCCTTCGTTCAATTTTCACTGTTTAGAAATTTGTGTTTCATTTTTGGATTTGCACTACATAATTTAATATATTTGGGTTTTTGGTTTGTGTATGTTGAACTATGAAGAAGACGATGTCGATTGCATTTGTGTAAACTGTGAAATCTCTCCAACTGAATAGGGCAATAATAATGATGTTTTGGAAGTGAGGCATAGAGGCATACTTTCTGTTGTATTTTGTTGCGGGTGGACTGAAAATGTTTTTATTTTCCCATGTCTAATTTGTGGCATTTGCCTCTTGTAAACTGTTGCCTACAGCAGGTTAAAAACAAGAAGAACAAATCTGAGAAGTGTGGACCATTGGCACAAAGGGAAATTGCGATTTTGTAGAGCAGTAACCACTATTTTGGGCGCTTGAGGCAGAGGATGGGAGGCGGGTGTAGGATGCACCGCCGCGAACGACGGCAGACTTTAGGTTAGGGGAAGAGATGAAACGTGTTTTCTGAGATTTTCTAGTCGGTTGGATTTCACCTTTTCTGAAAACAGGTAAATAGGCGCTCCTGTTTTTATCTCAGCCGTCCTTGAAAATCTCGCCATCGAGGTTATTCTTACATTTTGAATTCACAATCTGTTCGTTTAACAATTTTCAAGGCATTTGTGCAGCTTTCGATCGAAGTTTAGAGAAATGGTTGGCCCTCATTTTTTCCGAACGTCGATACTTTTTCAGCAGCGTTTTTCAATCACAGTTTAGTGTGCGAGACCAAATTTAGTGACGTAGGTCGGTGGAAGAAACTTTAGGTACTAGCTTCGTGTTAATTTGGCTATTTTTCTTTAGATCTGTGCTTTAAACATTGGTGCAATAGAACAAAGATTTTTTGTACTCTTTGTGGTTTTATGTTTTTGGGGATTTTCTAATTTGCCCATAATATCTGAATATTTCGATTTTTCTTGTTTTGTTTTAGATTTAGTTTACCTTTGTGTCTGTACATGGACGAAAAAGCTATTGTTTTATGCATTAGATCTTGGTGGCACAAATTTTCGTGTTATGTGGGTTCAGTTACGTGGTAATGGAAGTAAGACTAAACAAGAATCCAAGGAGGTCTCAATCCCGCCACATTTGATGGTTGGGTCATCTCATGTGAGTTTGTATATTCACATTACTTGCATTTTTGCAAGTTTTCTGATGTTATCATGGGTTATGGTTTATGAATTGTTTGTTTATTGTTGCTGCCTTGCAAAATTTGTTTCTAATGAAGAAAAAGGTGAAGAGTTTCATGATTTTCATCTCCCCCGGGCTGGCCAAGGGAGCATTACCTTTTTCATTCTCTGTCAGGCAATTATCATTGGAATCAGGAACTCCCATAAAGTGGTTGAAAGGTTTCCTTATAGAAGATGCGGTTAATCTCTTTCTCGCATTTGTTTTGTAGTTAGCATGATTTTGACATTATCATGAAGTTTTTGAACATAATGATTTGTTAATTTTTGAACATAATGATTTAGATGATTGTGAATGTTATGCATAAAATTCTAATAATTTTTTTGATTTATGTTTTTATAAGGACAAAACAAGTTTTTTTATCAATACCAGAAGGCTGTTGGGGTGGATCTATGGGACTCACACTATGAAGTTGTCTTTTTATTTTCTTATTTTTTGTAATAGTTAATTAATTAATTAACGTGTCTATAAATGTTTGGTAATTATATTCTCTTAGAGAGTAAATAATGATTATTATGGCTTTTTTTTTTGGTGGTAAATTTGTGCAGGCGCACTTGCAGAAATTGAAGGAGCTTAACTAAAAAATTAGGAAGGAGATAAGGTCCATATTAATTATTCTAAAATTTCTGGTTAGCTAATTAATTCTTATATATGTATGTTCATTTTTTTTAAAAATAAAAAAAATTATTTGAACTCAACAGGGGAGAGCTTGAATGATCTAGGCTACGAACAAATAGTTATCTTATTGAAGACATTGATAGCTCTCCCAGGCTCATACGAGAAAAAAATGTTTTTTTTTTTGCTCATCTCCAATTTCTTCTATTTAATTTACTTGGCCAAGGTTAAATTTAACATCTAGGGTTTCAACCTTTTCAATATATATTTGGTTAAATGAGGCATAATTTCTAGCTACTTAGAAAATATTTGCCGAAAAATTAAAAAAATATAAAAAAATAGTAACCATTTTTCAATCTATCTCTGTTAATGTATTTTATCCGTCATAGTATCGTGACAAAAATGCATATTGAAAAACACAATTTTTTATGTGTGACGGCCTAATTATTAGTCGGGTCGACCCATCATTTTCTTTTATTCGAGTAGCCCTAAGAAAATAGCATGTTGTTTTTATCCATCATTTTCTTTTTATTGTTGATTTTAGCTTGTGGAAGAGCAAAAGCCGTTAGTTTTATTTTCTTGAATTTTTCTTAAATTGTATTTCAGGTTCATAATTCCAGGACTCGGGGATGGTGACCGCTTTGGCACGTAAAAATTTTTCGAAAGCGCCGTCAGCCAATCTTTTGTGTACAAATTAAAAACTCAGTTTGGTTCTGTAGTGGTATGAGCAAATGTTGAAGTACTATTTTTGGCTGGTTGTATGGCATTTTTTTTTCTAATTAATTTGCTTTTGTTGACTTACCATCCTAATTTCGAAACCTATTAATTTGCGAGACCTAGTTGAATTACATTTATTAATTAATTGGTTGGTTCCTATCCAGAGTGAATGCATCGTCTTCTATCTTTGTTCTGTTCATTGAAGATTTCGCGGCCCGCCGTTTGTAGATACATCTCGTTGTGTGGAGTCTAGAATTTTTTTTTTCACTTGGCTGAGATATTCAGAGCTCCATTCACAGTCGAAGAAAATGGGTATATTGAACCACTACAAGAAATGTGCCAAAAAAAAGTTCGTCACCATATATTGCCTTATGATGACGAATTTAAAATATCGTCATAACATCATTTCATACGATGACGACTATTACATTAGTCATCTTAGAATTTATTTTTCGTCACATAATCGTACTTTTCATGACAATACATCTCAATTCGTCACCTATACATCTAAATTCGTCACATTTACATAAAATGTGACGAAATTCCATGTGACACAAAAAATGTCGTCATTATTATTGGTATTTGAAAATGACGCTTACGACTAATTTGTCATTATATAATAATTTATTGTGACGATACATTATAATACATCAAAATTCGTCACATTAATACATATTATGACGAAATTCAATGTGCCGAAAAATATCGTTGTATTTTCTTTGTATTTAATATGACGCTTATGAAAAATCCGTCATTATATAATTTTGTTTTGTGACGATAAATTGTAATTCAACAAAATTCGTTGCCTTAATATCAAATTGTTGTTCTTTTTTCTATTTAATATGACGCGTACGGAAATTTCGTCATTGTATAATTTGTTTTGTGACGATGAATTATAATTCATCTAAATTCGTCAATTAATATATTATGACGAAATTCACTGCGACGAAGAAAATTTGTTGTCATTTTTTTTTAATTAAAATGACGCTTACGAGTAATTCGTCATTATATACTTGTGTCTTGTAACGGTACATTACAATACATCTAAATTCGTCACATTAATAAATCAGCATGTTGTTCCTCGACTCATCATTTTTTATTTAGTTTTTTTTTTTTTTCGCAATTTTGAGTTTCAATTTTCAATAGGTTGAAATTTTAAGGAAAAAATGGAAATCGATTGTTGACCTATAATTCAAAGTTTATTTCTATGTGTGTTCTATTATTATCTCACTGTTTTATGTGTCAGATTTAGTTGATTACAAGTCGGCAAAAATCGATTGTTCACCAATGCTTGTATTTTTTAGGTACTTCTCTGTACAAGTCAAAAGTGGTATCTTGAATACATTTGTTGTTAAGTGTGATTATTTTATAACAATTTTATCTTATGAAGAATGTAACGACTTTAACATATTTTTGTGTTTTCTTCATTTTCTATAAGACCATTTTAATAATACTAACATACCATCCAATAACAATATCTTTCTGTAATTTAATTGTCCACAGGAGATTCAGTTAAACAACTTGGATATGAAAGAGGCAAACATCTCTTCTTTACCCTCACGATAAAATGGGCAGAGTAAATCAGTTTTTCGTATTAAATCTCCGTATGGCCTAACACGTCACTCAAGGACCATCCTAATTTCGAAAGCCCATTAACTTGCGATACCTAGTTGATCTACATATATTAATTAATCGGTTGGTTCCTATCCGGAGTGAATGCGTCGTCTACTATCTCTGCTCTGTTCATTGAAGATTCCGCGACATGCCATTTGTAGACATATCTTGCCGTGTAGAGTCCAGGATTTTTTCTTTTTTCACTTGACTGAGATATTCAGAACTCCATTCACAGTTGAAGAAAAATGGGTATATGGAACTATGCGTTGACGACTCTTAAGCCGACGAACGTTACTCACTATTGTGTCGACAATTTCACTGCCCCGAACGAGCTCAATCTCATAAATGCGTAAGTACAAAGTAAAAGAAAAAAAAATCTTCCGCCGACCTGCTGGCGAAACTGATCGCAACCGTGCACGTCTGCAATCGTCAGCGAGCCGCAATTTTCGGTTGGCTGCAACCGTGCACGGCTGCAATTGCCAGTAGGCCGCCATCGTGCACGGCCGGAATTGCCAGTAGGCCGCAAATCAACAAAAATCGGTTGTTCACCAATGCTTGTATTTTTAAAGTACTGCACTGTATAAGTCAAAAGTCGTATCTTGAAAACATTTATTGTTAACTATGATTATTCTATAAAAAATTTTATCTTAAGAAGAATGTAACGACTTTAATATATTTTTGTGTTTTTCTTCATTTTCCATAAGCCTATTTTAGTAATACCAACATACCATCTAATAACAACATCTTTCTCTAATATATATATATATAACAAGAATTACTATTTACTAAAAACAGTAAGCAAAAACATCTGGGAATATTAATTACATTCTATTTTTAGAATGTTTTTTTTTAAGGGATTTTGGAGAATCCGTCGACTTTTTCGACCGTCTTGAGTATGTGCGCTATTGGAAAGTTCTTTGAAGATGGGCTCGTTGTGCATTGTAGAGCAATCGTTTTCGGGGCTGTATTTAATGCTACCATAAATCATGGAATTTGTTATATTTAAATTTCAAATTTCAAAAAAACTTGCTTGATTGTAGTTTAAATTTTTTTTTGGAAAATACTTAAATCCCAAAGATTGAAACAAAAAAATTCATCTTTATCTTAATAACAAATCTATAATAATATCTGATATGATAAGGGCAACATGTTAGATTAGGAAATAATTTGAGTGTTTGTCGGCAAATAAAGCAAGATAACGAGATTAAAATCAATTACCTAATTAATTAGTATATGAATAAAGAAGATAAATGATTATTCATTTTTTGTTTAATTAGATTTATGAAGAAAAATTACATTTTTGCCAATAAGATTGTGAATAGATATCAAATAATATTATTACAGACCAAACAATTAAAATAATAATATTACACATCTGACCACTTTAAATTAATATTTTATTATTTTATATCATTTTAATTTTAATAATTATATTTTTATTTTATAGTTTTTCATCATTTGAAATTTTTTCAATAAAATAAAAATTTCCGAAATTTCTATATAGGTTTATGTATTATATTCCAATACAATAAAAATAATAATTCTTTCTAACAAAATGCTCCAAATTATGTATTTCATACTAAATACGTTAGCATTTGTGAGATATACACAAATTCGTATAATATATTTCCGTGAAATTGGTAAAAAAATAAGAATTAATGGATAGATCGTTACAAATATGATAAAAAAGACATAATCAAAATAACTTGACATTGCCAGAGGTCATCTCATATGGGTGAAGGAACTGATTAATGAAACAGGCTGGGGTTGGAACAGATGGCTGGTGCAACAGGTGTTCAGTGAAGCAGATAGTAAAGCCATCCTCAGCATCAACACCCTCAACCCTTCAACACCTGACCAGCACTACTGGAAATTTCACAATAAGGGAGTGTTTTCAGTAGCTAGCACTTATGATTTTCTGTGCAAGCAAAAACTGCAGCAAATGGACATTCCCAGCAGCAGCAATCAAGGAGGACACTCAGCCAATTCAGCACTTCAAAGACTCTGGAAGCTCAAAGTGGAAAACAAGGTGAAAATTTTTATTTGGAAATGTTTGTCAAATTCTCTTCCTGTGAAGACCAATCTGAAGAAGAGAGGAATGCAAATAGATGTGGTTTGTAACTTCTGTGGAGCAGCACCAGAGACCATGAATCACATTCTGTTTCATTGCCCCAAAGCTGCTAGTGTGTGGCTTGTCTCTCCAGTCACTTAGAACTCCCAGAACTTCATGGATACCTCCTTCAAATGCTGGTGGCAGTTCATTTGTGCTGTCAGCAAAACTGAGTCATCAGAGGCAAGAATACAATTAACAACATATATCCTTTGGTGGCTCTGGAAGACACGCAACCTTAGTCTATTTGAAGGCAAGCATATCCCGGTGCAACTGATCCTTAAAGCAGCTCAGGCAAATTGGTTGGCTTTCTCAAATGCAAAACAGCATGGAGCTTCTAACATCTGATACTCTTTTTTTAGTTCTTTTTGTGCTTTTTTCTCTTTTGTTTGTTGATCTTGTGAACTCTTTGTGGTTTGTTGTGATTAGGCATTTTGCCACCTCTAGGCATTGGCAGTGGAGGGTTTTTAGTTAGTATGTTTTTGTTGAGGTTCTAGGCCGCCTTGTGCGTGTCCTCCCATTTCT